ACTGGCTCAATATGCTGAATGATGACATCAAGTGATGCATACAGTACCCACAAGGAGATACCCAGTTTAAGTCTGCCACTTCTTCTAGAAGTACATGGAATATTTTCAATTGAAAACCATGGAATTAAAAAAATGCCTGATTTATTTTTCAATTCTAAAAGAATTGGAAATTCCAATTCCAAAAGAATTCTTTTGGAAGAACTCAGCACCAGTTTTCAACATATAGTTTTACATATAATAAAATAATAGCTTCATCATAACACTTTTTGATGAAGCTGTGTACTTTGGAGGTAATTTGATGGAAAAAGATTTCAATCGAGTAATTTAGATTTCTTATAGACTAATTTTTTCTGTGACAGAAAGGATAAAATAGATTCCTTAAATTGGTACAACAGAGAATCTGAAGCGCTTTTCAGTGAAATTACTTGAAATTAATGCTTACTGATTTTTCAGTATCTAGTAATAGTTTTAGCATTAGCCTTTTATCAGACTATCTTCTTTAAACTCACTTTTCTACTCTAGTACTTTGTATTCTATTCAGTACCTCTTTCTTACTCCTTGTTCACCAAGACTCTGAAAAACCTCAGTGAAATAATGCTCATATTACCTTTTGAATTACAAATAAAATGCTGTTTATTATTATTATTATTAACTTCAATTTTTAAATTCTTCCTGGCACATAAGAGGAGGGAAAGCTCATTCCGAGTTACTTCTACTGCTCTGTGTGCTCCTGAGAGTTGCACTCTACACAGGGTAATATGCTATACCAAAATGGAAGAACCTTTAGTGGAAAAGCATGAAAGAAATGGTATCCTTTAAGTCTGACTTCTCCAATGGCAATTAAATTACTGTCAATACATCCTTGTTCACCATTTGTAAGGTCTTTCCTAGGGCTTTGGAGAAATACAATCACTGCTGCAAACAAACTTTTACCATTTCAGCTCTGAATCCTAAGGATTGGCTACTAGCCCATCGACTATCACAGACTACTAAATGTTACACGAACCTAAAGAAAAACTGGCCTATACAGTTTCATCACAATATTAATACAATTGGTACAAAACACTGCCTGTAAATGTTGGCATTTTCTATTCCCTGCCTTCTTTCTGTTCATCTAAAATTACAGATATTATTTAATTTAAATGCTACAGGACCTGACAAGCTCAGATCAAATTCACACTTGTTTTATTACCAGTGTTTTGATTAATGCAAAAACTGCAAACAAAAGTATGATCTCTCCACTCCGTTCTTTTTTTCCTAACAGGCTATTTTCTTCTTTAGCAAGCTCTGGAAACGGAAACACTCCTATGCCTGCAGCTGGCTGGTGCTGTGTCCCAGGTTACAATGACTTGTTGCTCTTTGCTGCTGCCTTCCTGCACGTGCATGCAAGAAAGGGGCAGAAATAGGTTTCCAGCTACACTCAAATACAATCAAATAAAATACACTCAAATAAAAACCCTAATACTTTTCTGTTAACTCTTACAGCAAGCAGAGTGCATTATCAAAGATATTATTAACACAGCTACTGCTGGAGAGAGATTTAAATACAAAACAATAGAAGGAAAAGCAAAAGAAACAAATAGATGTTGTCCTACCAAATTGTTCCTTTTTCTTGTACTGGGTTAGTGATCACAGTTTACATGGCCACTGATACTGCAACTCTACTGCAGCAACCACCCAAAAATGATCTGCCTTCAGCCAAATAATTTCCATTGGCTTAGCAGATACCAATAAATTAACTATGCAACACTTTGAAGTAAAGGTACTATGGAGAAAGAAGGTGATGGCTTAACTGTTATCAACTCCTACAGACTCTTTGTGAGCACCTATATAGAAATACTTCATGGACTATGGGAAGAATGAAATGAGTGTTTCACACTCATTTCAGTGTGTATGCATGTGTGTTTCACACACATTTCATTGTGTGTTTTAACATACCTGTCTTTATGAAAACACTAATTATTCTTTGTTAAACCAAAAACTGATACTGATTGCATGTAAGAACCAAGTACATAGCCAAGTACGTAGAGACTGGGAAATTTCAGCAGACATCTTTAAAACAGTTCACTAACCCTAATTGTTCTATTTTCGGACTGGAAGGATTTCAATCTCCAGTGTGGTCAGCCTGGTACATTTCACAGAACTAATTGTTACTTAAAAAGAGAAAAATATAATGTAGAAAAATGGAATAGCTTTTCTTCATTGAGATTAATTGGCACCAGCAGTGAAGAGTCAGCACTTACCCTGTAATGGCCAATTCAACAAACATATGTCTAAGTGCCAAACCACATGCCATTACAATTCTATAAACTCAGTTAATTGCTTCTTTTCAGGTTGAGGTCAGGCTTATTTTTATGACTGAGCTAAGCTTCACATTAAAAATAACTTAGATAATTTCCATTCCTTAAAATTTTACAGATAATTTTTAGGCTGAAACACAAACATTTTTTTAAAGTACATACTGAAAAGTAAACAATATAATAGCAACTGTACACTGCACACAGCTATTCTGGGCACAAGCTCTGTTCTACTCCACTGAAATAACTTCAAATCTGGTATAATTTAGCAGAATCCACCCATCATCCTTAGTTTATTTTCTTGACAGAGATTTAGTGTAGCAAGCCAAAATCTTACAAATCTTCAACACACTGTTTTTCAACTATGGAAAAATGTGCTTTTTTGTTTTGGTGGGTTTTTGTTTGTTTGTTTGTTTTGTTTTGTTTTTACTGGCAATTTACACTTGTAACATTTTTTTGGGTTGAAATTACTGTTTCCAGATACTAGCTTTACATTGATTATCAGAGTGAAAGGAAATGTTGCTAGATATCCTCCTCTCTTTTGTTCTCCCAGTTTCCAAAAAGCAGATTTCTTCCCATTTAATGTTACAGTATTTACATGCTCTGTGCAAAACAAAGAAAAAGGCACCACTTCTAATTAGTTCTTTGATTTACTAAGAAGAATCTGCCTATGTGTTTGAGAATTTGCATGCCTTGCTCATGTGAGTAGTTCATATTGACATGGAGGGATTATAAATAGTTGTTAATTTTTTCCAGAGATTACAGAATATACTCTTAAAGTATGTGAACCAGGGTCTACATTATGTTGCTGATATGAGAATTAGTTGGAGAGTATAACTTTCAGTGCAAACACAAGGCTTATTTATTTCTGCATCAGAAAACTGCACAACAGCTTGGTAACATGACTTTAAGGAGTAATTTTAAAAGAGAGCCATAGTAAAACCCTGGCATATTGGTGAAAAGTAGACAGAAGATAATGGAAATCCAAATTATGCTGACAACAGCCCTCAGAAGGTTAGGGCTTTTGCACAGGAAATCCTGGACAGTTTTGTCTAGAACCGGAACAAAAAGTCAAAAATCTTCGAAGACTTTACAAACCAGAATTTTATCAGAAGCTTTGCCCTGTGGACAGCTCTTGCTTGCTATCTGTGAGGTTCACTGTTATCTGCAATTCTGAGTGCTATCACAAGGCAACATTTGTGATGGCTGGCCTTCCAAAGACTTGCAGCCAGACAGCTCCAGAACGCTGTATTTTGTCTGTCCAGTCCCTGGACTAGAACCAACATGAATAAGACATTTGTGTTATTGTGGACAGTGTTTCCACTCCTGCAATCCAAGGGGACATAATACAGCTCAGATAAAATTACATTAAAATGGTTATATATGCAAGTCGCACGTGTGTTTGTTTAATTTTAATTGAGTATTAACACAGGAAACCGTGTTTCCCATTGAGTTTAAGGTTTCTTCTATTGTAAAGTTTCACAACAACCAGATAATCTGAATGACAGCTATCATAGGACTTCAATTCTGGTTTGACAAATAAAGGTTGAGCTTCTGTATCAATTGTGATTTTTCAAACTGATGAGAATAGAGAGGTACGTGTTTTTTAGTTGACAGCTGAAAAACACAGTATCACAGCTGTGTATCTAGTGACCTCCACGTTGTCTTCAGGAAGCAAATATATAACACTCTGTAGGAAGTAATACTAATCTGGCAGCAATTAGCATTCTCCTTGATGTAATAATTTAGATAATTTGTGAATTGCATGTTTGGAGATATTGAATTATGCATCTACAGTTTAAACCTACAGTTTATGCACCTACAATTTATAATTTTAAACACAGTGATTTTACTCTTTCCTTGAATTCCACAACGATTAAACTTCATTTCTAATACGTCAGATAACATGTTTAAAATTAAAAAACAAATGAAGATAGAAATTACACTCCCAAAAGTCTGAAAAAGGAACAGGAAAAATTGGAATTTTTTTGATTATGCTCTAAAGATAGAAGATTATCTTTCCCCTGAAGAAAATATAACAGGAGTTCCATAGAATTTTATTTCAGATATTCAACATTTTCTACTAGAAAACATTCATTTCTGGAAATAAATATCAGACATGCACAAAGACTGAGCCAGAACCTGGCCATATAAGAAAAGTGTGGCACACTTGGAGCCAAAGCTTTACTTCCACATTCCAAGACAGTTCATTGAGCACTGATACTATTTGCAGTTCACTCTCAGTTTAAGATACTATAAAAGCATCTAAATTTAAAAATGCAAACGTAGTTCTTCCTAGCAACACTAGAGCACATTTTATTAATTTTATTTATTCATTGATCTATTCAAAATTCTGTTAAGAAAACATCATGTGCTTATGAAACTATTCAGTACAACTATGAGTCAATTCCTAACAGAGTAGAATGAAAATTAATTTTCTACTAATTAAAGCACTCATTTTCTTGGACATCCTCTTGCTTCCCAGTATGTGCTCCAGCAAAATGCATAGCCAAAATCATCAGATTCTTAGCAAAATTTTCAGAAGCTTGATGATGGTTTTTTTTTCTGCAGAAATTACACTGATGAAACACAGTCTCCACGTTGCAACAGAAGACAAACAGAATGCAATCCTTTAAAAAGGTAATCTAGAATTTTCTAATATGTATAAAATATATATTCTAATATTAAAAAAAAATTAATTACCTGGATCTTCTATAGATAAGTTCTTTGTCAACCACTGAACAATGTCTGAACCTAGGAACAAAGAAATAGATATTTTTAGATTAATAAGTTTTCTCTTCCTATTCTTCTATTCCCTAGATCTATTAGTTTTATTCTACATGTAAAAGAAATATCTATCTTTTGCACTCAGACAACTATATTACTTTTTTCTTTTCTTTTCTTTTTAGTTTCTCCACAGCTTTGGCCAAAGAAACATACTACTCCCTCCTTTCCTTAGGTCAAGACTCATAAAACACAGAAATGTCAGATGATAGCCTATAGTTTAAATAGATATTATTGCAGAATTTGCATTAAAACCACTCTTTTAGAAGTCAGAATGATAGTTTCCCTACTTTCCTAATTCCAAATTAGCCTAGATAAAATAAAGCCTAGAAAAAATAAATACAGATACGGATAATTTTGGGATAATGATTTTTTACAGATGCAATACAGATGATTTTGGAATATATGACACTGTATGCTGCAGGCCATCTCTGATAAAAGGCCTCCTTGGTACTAATACGTACCATTATGAGCTCACTTAAGGACCTCTATTGTGTTCAGCTTAGCCTTCTGACTTTTTATCTCTAGCTCTTGATAGAAGTTACTCTTCTGCAGTGTTGAAGCCCTTTCCTTACAACTCCAGACTCCGTACTTCTTTATCCCTGCATTTACTGCCCATCCATTTCTTTGTACTGTGTTTCTTTCACTTTCTTAAGGCCATACGTTATTGCTGTCCTCTTAACAATTCTGACACCAGACTCCTTGTTGTATTTTACGAGTATTCTTCCAACTCTACCTCCTGCTTTCTAACTCTCTCTTGGACGTGCACTTCCTATCACACTTCACACTTTTCGTACCAAGCCACGCTGAAGGATGTCTCATTTTTCAGACTGCAAGCTGCAGTTGGACTTCACCACTCTGAACATACTAAATTCCAAAATAGATTATGAAGCAGTTTGGCAGACAAAAAAAGACATTCATGATTTAAGCAACTTTAAAAACAAAAACTGGCCTAAGGGGAAAATATAGTCTAGACAGTTGGGGGTGATGTGCATGTTCTCTGCATTGCAGCATGTCTCCATTTCAGATAAGCAATCTAAAGGAGAGACGTGTCCAATTTTTAAGTTTCCTTATCCATTACTAAGCGAACATAATAACTTCATTTAAAAAAAAAAAAAAAAAAAAAAAAAAACAAACTCTGAAAAGTGAAAAGATAATCAAAATCAACATATGTCAATGTGAAAAAGTCAAAATAATAAAATCTCACAAATAGGCAATAATATAAAATATTAGAATCTGCAGATTTCCCCATCACTCTCAAGACTCAGATTTCTTCCTGCACTTCTAAGAGTGCATAATTTTCTTTTATCTTTGTAAGACAAAGCATACAAGGAACTAATAAACCAATTCAGAGAAGAAAGAAAATCTATTTTTACTCTCTTAGTTGCAGAAAATAAAATTTCGTTGCTTCTATTTTATTATATTTAATGAACAGATTTATCATGTATTTTAGAAAGCCTAGCTGATTTTAATATAAGTTTTCATGTGCATACACATTACTAAATTGATTATACAGCAGTGAAAACTGAGGAGATTTTACAACTGTCTCCAGAGAAATATTTTCATTACTTTATTACATCTAAATTTGGATAGATTAAACTTCAGTGGCAAAATTTCTCATAGTATTTACACTTAATTAAAAAATTACACATTTACACATTTACATTAAGTGAAGCAGTCTACCTTTATATGCTCTTAGTGTTGGACATAAACAAAATGTTTCAGATGCTTATTCCTACCTCAAAATATTATATTTTTGTGTATGTTTATAAATATCATTCCTATCTTTATTCATATGAAGTTTATGAGGCTGATGTTGGAGGATGTATTTTAGCTTGGTGTAAGAGGAAACTTCATAGATTTCAGTGGCACAGTCGCAAGCCTAAGCATATATTTCCATCAGCTAAACAGAGAAATAATCAGCCCTAAATATTTCCCTAAACCCTCAAAGGTCAGAGGAAAAAGTCATTAGAAAAAAAAACATAGAATTTTTTTTTAACTTTTGTTTCCTTCAAATTCCTCAGGTACCCTATGGGAAGAAATTTTCCACTTTTGATCTCAACTTAAAATGCTTCATTTCTCTTTACCTCTTCCGAACACTTTCCTACAGTGACATATTGCAAATCTTAGTCCTCAGCTCCTGGCATTGTATTTGTGTATGTGATCTACACATCAGAAATTTCACCTCCATATGTTACACTGTCTTCTAAATAACAGTGGGAAATAGGATTGACAATTATAATATCTGTTTCTGAAAGATCACTACCACTATATATTATTTTGTACTGAAGCCATTTCCCAAGTACCAAAAGCCAGAACAGCAGTTTAAGTCAGCTATCACATTTGAACACTGCCATGATTTGAACCGCATGACTTTGATGACAAAAGCTCAAGCCAGTAAATATTTACATTTATATTCTCTCTATTGTGCAGGGCATTCAAGTGAAGCAAAGTTGCAAGTAGTTTATCACACCACAAGTGAGAAATTTATCAGTCCAGTCCATATTCCTTTGGGAGATCTTGTGGGCAACTCTACTTCTAAAAAGAATAATAAAAGTGCCACCTTTAATAGCTGAGTGTTTTTAGCTGTTATTTTAAGTGTCTAATCAATAATGTGATTTCATTCACTCACATCTCCCTTTTCTAGAGTTTACTAATCATGCAAATTTGTTTCTGAAAGTGAGGGCAGTACTGTAATTTCTTATCTCAAGAAAAGGACAAAGCAGCAAAACAGGTAAATGTTTTGAGCAAAAACGGTATTTCACTAGAGTCCCAGATTTGAAAATCGGGTGACCAGTAAATTCATGTCAATTTTCATACACTGTACTTCGTATCTAAAGAAAACACCCAAGAATTAGGATGAAAAAGGTTACAGACTTCGTAAATTCTAAGCAAGAGCTAATTCTTACATGATAACACATCTTCAACTTTAAATCCTGAGTCCTCATCACCAAGGATCTATCAAAGTGATGAGGACAGAAATTGCAAAGAAGCATTATCTTGGTAAATGAGCCTCCCAAGAAGGAAATAAAACAGGACTTTTGCTTTCCTAAGTTGAAAGAGAGTACTTGGAATGCCTGATGATGTTGTCCGATGATAAAACGTCTAAAAAATTTGAGCTTTTTAAGATATTTCCTTTTTATAATTTGGCATTACCTAAAACAAATCTTTTTAACTAGAAGGAAAAGCAGCTCAGTAGGAGGAATTACAATTCTCTACTTAGAAGAGAAAGTAAAGTAGTTTGAAATTCAGACTGTAAATGCTACATTTGATTTAAATCCAAAAGATGAAAAAAAAAAAAAAAAGAAAGTTACATCACAAAGATATTCAGTTTTTGTCAGTTGATTAAGGTGGCAGTCACTAGTAATGTACAATAACAAATACTCTGTAATAACATTTTCTAAGGAGATTCCCAACTGAAATTCCCCAGCTCTCCATGTCTCACTTCTGGGAGGCAGCTAAAGGGGAAGCTTGCTTTTAGATTTCTAATGTATAAGAGACCTTACAGACCAATCACCATTTCAATTTTGAAATCCAACAACCCTCACTTTTCGTGCAAATTCCTGCATCAAATACAACTGAACATTATCAGGGGAAAATCCTCAGAAAACATTAGAAAATGTTTGCAGCTCATCAGATCAAGGAAATAAAATTCACAAGATCTTATCCAAGTCAACAAATATGAAAGACTTTCCACCTTTTAAAAGAAAGCAGCAAAAATACATAAAATATCTGCTGATATGCCAACTGGTGATTAATTTTAAATGAAGCAGTCTGAAAATAGCAGTTACTGAAGCTGTCACGACATCTTAAGGATTCGCCAGGGCAATGCTTAAGTTATCTTTCAAGAACAGAACCTTTAATTTAAACAAGCTTCTACAGAATACATTTAAAAAAAGGTGTTGATTCTAAACTCCAACAAAATTAACGGGAATTATAGATTTGTTTTTTGCAATGCAATGAGCCATGTAACCCCTGATCTGACAAGAAAAAGGTGTAACTAGATCTGCAAAATCAAATTAATATTAAAAAGTTCTATTATTTCAAAGATTCAAATTGCATTTATGTGAGGAACATTGAAATTCTAATAAAATGCACCAGAATCACAAGCCATGAGGTCACTGAGGAGCTTAACTGAGCTACAGTGATCTATCATTTCACAAGAAGAGAGGTTTGATCATGCAAAAATATATATTACTGCTAACATCCAGGTATTGTGACTAAATTCTATTCATTTTTTTCACTTGTAGTCTTCAGAGTATTTACATATAATGAAGTATATGGGAAGTTTGGGAAGTTTTCTGCATTCCTGATACCAAAAGAAAGGATTTTGCTGCTGACAACCCAGCAAATACTGTATCTTCATGAAAGCTTTTGTCATCTGAACTCTCAAGGGTAAGCTAATCATTGCAGAATTTCGTCTGTACTGTAAGAGCCAGGAGGCTGGGCTTGTCCAGCAGCTGCGTTTGCTGAAGGGCTTCACACCAAGTTGCAGGAACCTGGAGACCAACTTACAGTAGGGAAAGTTTAATAAACATTACACACAAAGCATCAGTTTCTAAATTTATGACAATGTGATTGTTACTAATTAATAAGGTAAGATCACTGCCTTTCTATTGGCTTACTGTTTTTGTCAAAAAACCAGGGTCGTGCAATTTTGGTTTCTTTCTTCAACATTGTTGCTTTGTCACAGTGGGAGAAACACTACACGAGAATAAATTTAGTTGTTGGCACACACTTCAAAATCCTTGATCACGACTGAAAAAAAATCATGTGCAAATGTAGTCCTCACTATTTATTCAGAAACTGGAAACAGAAACTGGATGTAGATCAGTTTCTCAGCACTCGCACTTCTTTCTCTTTACCCACTCACATAAATTGCTCTTTGATGGAGTTGGACTCTGTGAGAATGTGTCTGATGAATGGGAGATGATCTACATTCTACAAGTTTTCATGGTCACAAACCAAAG